AGAGAGAGAGAGAGAGTAAAGAGAGAAGAAAAGGGAGAGAGCAAGAGAGAGAGAAAAGCCGTGCGGGCTGATGAAATTGATAGTATGCATATAGCTTGAGTATTTTTAGCTTATTTCTCGAAAATATGTTTATGGGATATAACTTTATTATATGACTGAATTTGGCGTGAAATGAACTTTAATTTATTGCAAAAATATTTTTCAATTTAAAAATAAATGGTAAGTAACGAAGATATTTTGAAAAATTCGATATTTTGAAAAATCTAATCATATCATTGTAAAGTGTTTATGAAATCGTGAAATTTTTATTCAAACATTCATTCATATTTATCATTTATATTTATCATTGTTTTCGCGATATTCGTTTAGGAACATAGAGATCGATTTTTTTTCAGAGATTTCATCCTTAAACCTGAATATCAGCAACAAAAAGTTGTAATTAGACCTCTACTCTATACTTATGCAAAGTTTCAGATTTTTTTTAATTTTAGACTTGCCGAACTTCCCTTATAAGTAAGCTCTGAATAGTAAAAAAATGATAAGAAAGATCTAAAAATTTTTCTTGTTCTCACAAAATTCATATGCATGTATAAATTTAATTGTGGAAAAGGATTTCCAAATCAATAAAATTAATACAAAATTAAACCGATTCAAAAATTGCTGTATTTTGTCGGTAATATAGACAAATAATCAGCATCCCCTTAAAATATTATTATTAATATTTTTCTATGTATCAATGGCTCAAGATTTACAATTAGCTACCAAACATAGAAAAACATGTTTTCAGATAACTGGTATATCCATATACGAATGAATTCTATATAGTCAGCATCTGTTACAATAGATCGTGTAACGATAAATCTTTTAAGAACATTTAAAGAAAGTGCAATACTTATTAGTCGTTCCGGAAATATTTAATAGAAAATCTATATAAAAACCGGGTACAAATGCTCATTTATTTATTCACAATGTGTTATACAATAATCTATGCATTCAGATTAACAAATAAATTGCAAAAAGCAAAATTCGAACATGTAGTGTTCTAGCCGTAGTAGCCAAGCACCTTACCTTATTTAACTACTCTATTGAATACAAAAAATATGAAGAAATCGTGATATATAAAGTACATGAGAAATTTCAAACTTGATTTTCTTAAATATTTGAAAGTTGCATTGAATAACTTTATTATGCTTTAATGGGTATTTAAATTTTCATTGAATGTAATACCGCAACAGTCAAATATTGATCAATTTCAAAAAAATTATTTTTCTTGTCTTTATTCAAAGTAATTTTTTTCGCATTATGACGATTCAATTGTGTTTTCATTTTACAACCTACTTAAATAATTAATAAATAATTAATACAAATTATTACGTGATTTCTTCTAAATACCTGTATAAGAATTTGCAGGATTGCGCAGAGTCCATGAGCTGCACCCAGGTATTCTGTGCCATAGTATGCATACATTAATGGGCATGGGCTGTTGTGAACCCGCGCATATGTTTTGCCTGAGATAACAATTGTTCGTGCGATTTCGTGCATCATATCAAATGATATGACGATTCTTTTCATCATACGATTCAACCATAAAGCACCATATAAAAAACCGGCGCGGCCTACAAAAAACTCATCTGAGCCACATTTCAAGAAGTTTATTTCTTTGCAACGCTCTCCTGTTACTATATAACGTTTTATCAACTCATTTGCAATTTCATCATTTTTTCGGATTGCTGCAAGAACTGCGCCTATTGCCAAGATTCCCCAATCACCTACAATATAATCAAATCAAGAAGTTCATTATTATATAAGAAATTCATTATTTCAAGAGGCAATGTTTGTAGCTCGAAAGCTACAATCATTTATTAAATTATTAGTGAGATATGTTAAAACATATAATATGCATGAAATTGCATGGCAATCATCATACAATTGCAAGAATACACACTGCAGAATTTGTTATGCAGACTTTAGTTACATGTACCTAATAAAGCTGTGCTAATATATGGCCATAGTAATAATTGTTAGGCCAGATATTAGAATATAACATTAAGGAATTGATTCATGCCGAGCAATAATTAAGACAGTAAGAGACACTCGATTAAAACAAAAGGAGTTATTAACAGGAGTTATTAACAATAATAAATATAATAAAAATTGCAGAATTATCTTGTAATGATGCACCCCTCCCAGCATCATTCCGTCCGATTCTACACTCTCCAGACGAAAGTCAATTGACCACCCATCAGCTTAAAGGCGCGAAAGCGCCGATAAAACTTTCAATTATTTCGATATTAATTACGGCCTACAGGCCGTAAGAAATAAGAAATAATATCGTACGGGAAATCTGTGCTATTTAGCGCGATGCGGCGGAAACACCCGAGCGTGCCCGAAGAAACCCAAACATGCAGTTTGAATTGTCACACGAGTGACAAACACTTATTATTACTTAATTATTATTGTGGCGGTCACTGCTCCGCGAACACACCATCGACACACCGTCGCGCGCAGTCCCGCGCCGGATGGTGGTTCGTGCGCCCGCCACTAGATGGCAAGTCGAGAAATCATTTTCTCGTGTTTGAAACGCTACAGCGGACACTATATAAGAGCGGTACTCGGCATCGCTCTTCGCCTCAGTCGCCTCGAACCAAGTCATTGGTAAGAGCTGCACTGCGACGCCCTCCGAGCTCTGGAAGCCAGCCTTGGCCTCATTGCTCGATAAACGGCAGTTTTTCCTGCTGGCAATTACCGACCTATATTCGATCGTACTCCCCGCGGCAGTTAACGCCGCGGTTACCTCTCCGGGCTTAAGTCTGACGGCCGTGAGCGCCGCCACTTCCTTCTGGCCCACGTCTGACGGCCGTGAACGCCGCCAAACCGGCCACACCTCTGACGGCCGTGAACGCCGCCAGATCTTTCCGACTCTGCCTCTGACGGCCGTGAACGCCGCCATCCTCCTGGCCTTGCCGCTGACGGCCGTGAACGCCGCTAGCTTCCCAGCCGTGCCTCTGACGGCCGTGAACGCCGCCATATCCATCTCGCCTCTCTCCTACGGACGTGGTCCTACCAGCTGTGAACACCACAGCCTCATCACGTCCCGGAAGGTCTCTCGCGGCCACCGACGCCGCCCAATCCGCCCGTGTCCGAGCGACCTGCTACAGGCCGCAGTCGCAGCCCGCCGTTCTCCATCAGCTCGGGGAGCCGCCGTTCATCCGGAGGGCTTCCGCCGGCGCACCTCATCCCCAGGAGTCGCCCTCGACGCCTCGACACCTCCAAGGCTACCGTCACTGCCCACCATCCAGGAGGCGCCAGCACCACAACGCTCGCCGCCGTTGACGGCGCGGCCACCCACGCCGCAGCCGGGACACGCACCTCCATCACCGTGCACCGGCCAGGGACGAGTCACCGAGCGACGAGCCAGGAGCTCACCCGATCGCAGGCAGCAACTCCTGGACCTGTTCGGCTCGGCTTCCTCTTCCGAGGATAGCCTGCCTCGACCGCCGACTCCGCCCGCAGGGGACGCGACAAGTCCCTCGACTTCCTCGAGCGTCTCCACACCGGAGCGACCACCGAATCCTGGCCGTTCATTGGAGCTCGGCGCGCAACCAGACAGGCCGTGGCAGCTCTGCGCAATTGAGCTCGGCCACGTGCAGCATCGGCCGCCGCGCCGTGACACCCGCCGGTTTTTCACCG